GGGCCCCCGGGGGGGGAGGGGGGAAACCCGGAAAAAACCCCCCCCGGGGGGGGGGGGGGGCGAGGCGCCGGGGATGCAGAGCCAGGGAGGGGGGGGGGTGTACTCATAGTCGTGCATGCCGTAGTCGTTTGACCATTGACCTCGCATCCCTACAAAGCCAGGACGGAGCACGCCGGGTTCTCACCGGACCAGGCTCTCACATCACCAAGCGCGAAGCGCCGTGAGGTATTTGGCGAGTCGCATGAAGGGTGAGCTGCATCTTGCTAAGGGTGTTCGGCATCTTGTGCTTACTTCCTTGCGTACGGATGACAGCTACGTATGACTTAATTTATTTTCTGGTGCTTTCACTTCCAGAGACAGTTGTAAGCACTGTGTAACTGCCTCGAGGAAGCTTGACCATTTTAACACAACGTGGTACGATCATCCCCCGTTGCGCGGAGTGAGGTTTCTCGACCCCGCACAACATGATCTACTCGACAACCATTATGGTTACCGCCAAAAAAAAAACGAGGTAAAAAAAAAAAAAACGGTAACCTGGTTGCCGAGTTCACGAAGTGAATTGGCTTGTTTTACAACGTCGTTGCCAAGCGACGAAAACCCAATCCCGATGACAAACACCGAGGGGGGGGCTTGTTTTACAACGTCGTTGCCAAGCGACGAAAACCCAACCCCGATGGCAAACATCGGGGGGGTGCAGGGGGGGGGTCAAGCAAAAAGTAGAGCGAACGAGAACGACAAGCACAGGGAACTCGGCAGCCAACAGTAGTCCCACACAGCTAGTACCGTGGACAGTAGACAGCACCATCCAGGCTGGATCTTGATTTTTATCCTCGAAGGGTGGGCAGCCCACGGAAGCTTGTGCAGATGGCGATACCGCTTAACAAGAATAAGAACACTCCCGTATTAGCCCAGGGACGGATAGGCTTCACAGTCCCTCTATTCCTCGTGAAGTCATGTAAGACAACACCAACAATATACGGCTTAGTGTGGGGTTGTTGGAATCTCCTCTCCAAGATTTATTCCTCAAGTTCTTGTAACTCAACCTCCAGGCTCTACAGTGGCGATAAGCGCTATTTATAAACGTAACAATATCACGCGCCTGCGATCCTAGCTCTCGTCCGTAGAACGCGAAGGGTTTGTCCATGCACTTGATCATCTCCGTCACCAACAAGTCCATAGCAGCTTCCGCCCCTGTAAGGGCCGGTTCATACCTGATGCATGTTGTTTGAACAAAACAGAGAGAGAGGGAGAGAGAGAGAGGCGCAACGCACGCACAACAACGTGGTGGGAACATATTAAAAAGCTGTGTGCATAGATTAGCGGGTCAGTTGCCTCGGCCATGGGGGCGATTCTGCCACCCTCCCGCCTTCGAAAGGAAGGGACCTAGAGTAAGCAGTCATGCATATCATACCTACTCCTCTCCTCCCCTCGCAAGGTGTCCTCCTCCGACACGTTACTACTGTACTGTACGAAAAAGTGACCGTGCGAACATTTGTCGAAAAAAACATATTTGCCACGGAGGTGGGAAGGGGAATTGGTAAAACGGAACCATGGCTGCATTGGCACCGCTCTGTGTCTCTGTCTTTATCTCGCTCCCTTCGTATGTACTATATCACGAACTCGTCATGTCTACATGGCATGCCATGACATTACGTAGCAACAAAAATTTGCAACAATTCGAGAAGCAAAGGAAAGAAACAGTGGCCGAGCGAGATCTGGTCTTGCGGGTGTGCTACACCAGTTCCGCCCAGTCAAGTCGCTGTTTATTAACAGTCCCGATCGAAGGGGTCCGAGGTGCCGATGAAAGTGCGGCCGCGTGGTTTGAAGCTGTTCCGCCGGCGCGGGCAGCTCCCCCGGCGCTCGGCGCCCGGAGCCCGGAGCCCTCGGCGACGGCGTCTCGCTGAGGCTGCCATAGGGCGTCCCGCGGGCTCCGCAGAAAGGGAGACCGAGCGGACCCCCCTGCGGCGCGTGCCGCGATGTGACGCTATCGTGTCGATTTGAGAGTAGGCCTAATCCCGCCGCTTCGCTCTCAGGCGTCGCTGTGAGCCCCGAGGGCCGAGATTCAGCCTGAGCTAATGTTCACTGCCGCTTAGCAACCATTCGCACTTAGTCAAGACTAGATGTTGTAGGCCCATGACTGAACCAGCCACATCAATGTTGCTCATAGCTCATACGGCAGCGCGGTAGTTGATCCACCCATACGAACCACCCAATGAAGAGATTGTTGATGTTGTCGTTTTAATGCCGGAAAAGGCTTGGTGTGCTATTGTTTCTTCGCCAGCAATAATGAAATAAGCAAATCAGAGAATCAGTAGCATGCGACAGCCCAAAGGAATAAGAAATCTGTTTGAAGAAGCTGGCCGACTTCGGCGGGCCTTCTGCCCAAAATACGAAATTGAGGGTCGACCCGATCTTGACGTTTCGGGTCTCCGGGCCCGTTCTGTACTTGGCGGACGCGGTCGGTCGATTCTCGTCGTCACAGGCTTTGTCACTTACCCTTGAAAACGGTGTACTCAAATGACATGGACTCGAAGGGTCCGCAAGCTGTGAATGTTTTAATTTTATTGCCGGTACCGGGGGAATTACTGCTGTCTGCGCGAATGCCGCGCTGACACAAAGGACTTCAACTCGGGGCACAAGTAGTAAACCTGGGTGGAGTTTCCAGGGGGTTCGTCGCAGGAGGCCTCATTTAATCACTTGATCATTTAATCATTAAATTCAAACTTTTCATCGCCAACTATTTCGCGAATAATAGCGGTTGAGAAAAACGCAAATACGTTGATCTTTCTTGCCTGCGGCACCCGCTGCCAGGAAGCTGGAAGCAGTAGCACTCGACGTTATCTCCGTTCAACCCATCAGACCATCCCGAGAAGTCTTCTCGTAGAGGAGATGGATAGCACAGGGCCAGCAGCAGGGCAAGAGTTGGCAGCAGCAACAGCAGCAGAAGTAGCAACGCCGCAAGGCAGAGGAAGGGTTGTCATTTGGCCCAAGCGTGATGTTGTGGACTACATCAGTCTAGCGGTCCCTGTAGAATGTACCACGGTTTTTCGTCCTTGTGAACCCGGACTACAGTACTCCTGTACAGCCGCGGGAGGGTAAAATACAGCATGATACGCGCACGTGTACAGCAGGTCACATCGTATTTTTGTCTAGCCCCAGCGAGAGGCCGTGGTCTCCCTGACAAGGAACGAACGAAGGAACAACACGCTATTTAACACATTACCGCTGCACCCAAGAACGCGCCGGGCAATCCATTCTAATGTAGCACAGGGCGGCTAGCAAACTGAAAGGCAACAAACACCGCGAAGCCTTGGTTGCGAAGAACACCCGGTACAGGCCAAGAGTAGGGTGCGTTTTCCAAAAGGTGGGATCAGCCCTTAGTTAACATCAGGGCTGGTCTTGCTTAGGTTCTCCCACACTTCACACCCACACCAACAGTTAGAACAGGAAGATCCACAGAAGTCCCTGTTTGATTGGGTGAAATGATGACAAGACTACTTCTTTTTTTTTCTACATGAAGTTCAAGCAAGCAATACTGTGGGTCAGTACACCCGGACTAACATTTGAAAAAATGAAAAATCATTTAATGTTTATTTCAAATCATAGTTCATCGAACCGGCACACACAGTTCCCAACCAAAATTGGGTCTACTGGAGGTAAGATGGCAAAGACAAAGACAGAAGAGTGCACGACTGATGTTATCCTCGCGCCACGTTGCAACATAGCACGAGGTACAGTCTTCACACTCGCTACACCATCAACTCTTGAGCACAAGATGATACCCTCCTCGCATGCTGACCAACAGCAGCGCGGCAAGTAGCAGCAGCAGCAAGCTGCCACCAGTGCCACAACATGTGTACCTTGCCGCAGCATATACGGAGGTGCCCTCGTTTTCTATGGCTGTGCGACCCTTCCACCGAGTTTGCGCAATAAGGTAGGATGTTCCCAGCCCGCGCAGCTCTCAAAGGTTCACTGGCCGTGGCCCCGTCTCCCTACATCGACACACACAACTACATAACTGCCGGCACGTGCAGTTCTGAGGGAGCCCACTGGCCGTGGCCCCTGCTACCCATCTCCACACAATTACAAACCAGCACCTCAACACCTCATCCACAGCCTATTCGTTGTTATGCCGACCACTCAACTCACACTGTAGGTCAGGTTTTGCTACAAGGCGGGTATAAGGGTGTTTGCGGTTTGTTGTTTGGATTTGATTTTGCAAGTCCGAAGGAAGTCCGAGTTGAGACCAAAGTTTGATTTCAAAAAGAGCTTGCGAAGATCCGAACGTATGTATTTCAATGCCATGTGACGTCACGACGTGGTAGCCGTTTGCCCTTCTTCTCTGCTCATGTTCACGTTCACGTTCACGTTCACGTTCACGTTCAGACATGCATGCAAGGAGGAGCTCACGTTTTCTTGTCGCCCGTCCGTGCAGAGCTCTACCACACATGCAACAACGCCGTGAAACAATCCACTGCGATGAGAGCCATCGAAGACACATAGTTCTCTATTGCGCGCTCTAAGCAAATTGTTGGCTCGTCTGTTGCGCCGAAAGAAATAGGCAACACCCACAATCAACCACGACAGACTGCTGTACACTGTAAACGGGCTCCTGCTGGGCACACGCCACATCACACTGTTGTACATACTGTAGCTCAGACCACGCAGTTGTAAGCGCCGATCGCCACGGAACCT